AATCAGGCTCAGGGTCCTTCCTAAGCAACCTCGCCAACCCCTGCCACACAGACTTTCCACATCCATACCCTGGAATGCCTGGGATTCTGAGATGTGGGTGAATTAATCATTTCTTCCCAGTGGGAAGAGTCAGTGAACAGAGGAACCCCAGTGGGCGTCAGAGGGAGCAGGTCCCAGACAAGCCTGCAAGGGTCAGGAAAAGTTGTCAGCTGTGTTTTAAAGTGCACATAGGGATTTCCCAAGAGATAAGACTGGAGAGGGCACCCCACAGTGTAGCTTAGAGACAAGTGGTTGGGATGGCAACTGCTGAGCCACCCAACAAGGTCTGAGGTATAAGAAGCCAGAGGACTCAGAGGTGTGTGAGCACTCACCTGCTGAAGAATCACCATGGTTCTGTGCCAGAGCTCCAGCTACCTGCTGCTCGGCAAACACTGTTCTGCAGAAGACAGACCAGGTCAGCCTCTGAGCAGAGCAGCCCTGGAACCGTTGAGCCCATTAGGGGTCATCTGGACACCTCCCAAAGCCACAGCCCTTCCTCCCTGGGTAATCCTCCCTGACTCCTCTCCTCTGGCCTCAGGCCAGTCCAGGGACCCCAGCCTCATTCTCTGTCCTCAGCTCTGTTGCCCAGAGAAGCTGAGCCACTGTGGTTGTTCTTTCAGCCACTGTCATCCAGAGGTTCCCAATGGGCTCCCAAGAAGGAACAAGTATACTTGTTTGGACAAAGAAGCCCAGAGACAGTCCAAGACCTGGGTCTGTGTCAAGGTCACACAGCAGGACAGGGCAAATTCAGAGCTAGGACTTGACCTCTGGCCTCCTAGCTCAGAGATGCTGCAGAAGTGTAGGCGTCAGGGCAGCCTGGTCTGAGGGGACAATCTCAGGTTAAATATGACCTGTGCATGGCACACTTTGGATGATACCTTTCCCGGGCATCTTTGCCCTTGGAAGGGAAGCCTTAAGTCTCCACTTTTAAGGCCTAGCACAGGCTGGTCCCTGATGATGTCGGAGGCTTTTCTCTGCTTCCTCCTACAATGGAACCATTCTTAGTGATTCACTATTCCTGAAATACTGCAACTCTTCTCAGACCTCCTTGCCTTTGCTTATACTGCCCCTTCATCCTGGAATTCTGACCAGTAAAACTTCACCTATGGTTGATGGCTCCACTCAGGTGGCACCTCCTCCAGAAAGCTTTCCTGAAAACCCTGAGGCTGCCAAGAACCTCTGTGTTTATCTTTGCCCAGCTCTCACTATATGTATGGATCTGTCTGGGTCAGAGCCTGTCCCTACCTGTGTTTCTAAAGACAATTGATCAAGGACAGGATGATGGCCAAGACAGAGCCTGAGCCATGACCTTTTCTTCAGCCTCATACAGGCTCAGAGATGGATTTAGAAAGACTCATTGGATGATTGTGGCCATCAATGGCAGCTCTGGTCCACAGGCCCAGGCATGAGGCCCCTTGACCCCCAACCTGCCCACAGGATGGACATCAATTTTTCACAAGGGCCCATTCAGAGGTGCTGAGGTATTTGATCCTCTGCCCATGATACTGCCTGACACCTGAGCCCTGACCTCAGGGCTGGACGCCTGGAGATCTGGATCCCAGAGCATACATGGTCTTTCCTGGGAGTTGCATAGGCCTGAGTGCCTGGCAGGGAAAAAAATTCAGCAGTTTCCCCTGGGAGCTCAGTGCCAGGGCCACTGTGCTGGCACTGAACATCAGGACAGGCCATGAGAGCCAGAGGGAAAGTCAGAATTTTTATGAAAGTGTAAGGCCTTTAGAGGATAGCAAGAGGGTAGAATTTAAGGTCCATCCATTAGAAAAACTGTGAGGTATGGATTTTATTTCTAAAACTAAGAGCTAGACCATGCTTAAATCCTTCGCTTTTCAAATGGACAAGGGGGAATACAGTAGTATTTGTATTTCTAAGCTCATGCCTGATTCCATCTTGTCCCCATGACAATCCTGTGTGGTGGGGCTTCATACTCCCAGATTGAAGATGGGAGACTTGGGGAATAGAGAAAGGAGGTGACTTATTCAAGGAGGGAGATAAAAAGTGTCAAAGAGAGACCAAAGACAGACAGGAACAGAAGACTCTCTTGCACTCTGTCCTGCACTCTAGCATGCCTGCTACCCTGGCCCCAGGGTGCTCCACAACCAGGCCCCCACCCCAACTCAGAGATAATTCAATGGATGCAGAACTCCTTAGCCTTTCCCTTCTCCAAGGTACAAATCTTTATCTTCTCCAGCTCAGGACAATGTCATTCAATGGCTGCTGTAGTGAAGCCCCATGGGTGGCTGGAAATGCTCCCAAATCCAAATCCAAAATATCCTCTCCCAGTGCCAGGACAGGGGCAGCCCATCCTTACCTGGGTCCCAGCTGCACACTTTCAGTGTCCCAGGAGCTTGGCTGCAGCTGCTACCTGCTCGGTAGAGCAGAACTCGGGAAGCTGGGGTCACTAGTCTGGCACAATCTGAAGACAATGCTGCCTGTGCCTTACCCGCAGCTTGCCCTAAATACCTCTCTCTCTCTCTCTCTCTCTCTCTCTCTCTCTCTCTCTCTCTCTCCTGTTCCTTCTGCCCAGGCGACTGTCCAGCCAGCACTGCCACCCTCCCTTCTCACTCCAGAGCTTTCTCCCAGGAGGCGGAGCCCAAGGGGGCCTCCAAGGTCTGGGTGTGGCAACATCCACGTGGGGGGCGGGCTGTGCTGGGACTGCTGTCCAGAGGCTGCCCAGGGCTCTGCACAGAGTGCCACCAGCCAACAAGGAGGTAGGGACATTGCAGTCTCTGGCTGTGCTGCAGACACACATGGGGCTCAGGACCACACATGGAGGCTTCAGGTATCTCTAGTGGGGGAGATTTGCAGTACCACTACCTGCTGCCTCAGCACCTAGCAGGAAACCTCATTCGGATTCTGACCTGGTCACTGATTTGCTAGAGTCTCCACCCAGCCATTCTCCTCCAAGACACTGTTTGAGACTCCAACAAGGCCTGGCCATACAGCCAGGGCGGCAGTAGGGTGCGGGCGAGCAGTGTTCTGGCATGCTCTTTCCCACATGTGCCCCTGAAGCTTATCCACAAATTGCCCCCACAACTTGTTCAAGGGGTTGGGAGGTGTCTGTTCTCTTATAATCATCCAGAAACTTTGCCAAACCAGCTCACTACATTTATACCTGTACATATGGTCATATTCAAGTGCACTGAAACTTGTCCAATTTGGCATGACACACTTTAATGTGAAAATTGTGACCTAGTACTTGTCATGTATTTGGCACCCAAGTCAGAATTTGTCAGATTCGCTGCTCTTTCCAGCCGTTGTTTGGTACTCATCACACCTCTCAGAACCAATTAGCAACAAGCGCCAAGGTATATAATGGGGACAAAGTGAAACGTGCAATTGGAAGGAGCATACAAATCTTTATTAGCACTGGCAGGAAGCGTGGCTTGGAGGACTCCTGCAACCCGGTCTTTTCTCTGTCTTGCCCCTATCTGTGCACTTTTCCATGTATAGCTTTAGGTCCAGCAGAAGCAGTGAAGCTTTTCAATTCCAGGCCTCCAATGAAATACGGGTGTCCTCAGGGAAGCCTGAGGAGGATGGAGGGAGGGGGTGGGGACGAGGAGTGAAGAGGGCCGCTAGTGCCCCCTGCTGGGCAAGGCTCCATAGGGAGCCAGGCTCAGCGTGATGGGGTTATTTCAGAGTCTGCAGGGCCTGGCTTCCTCAGATTCAGGATGCTCAAGGGCCCATTAGCCCAGTGACCCCGGCAGGAGTTGCTCCAAAACAGCCCCCACCTCTGGGCCTCACCTGCAGCTGATTACTTACCACTAGAGCTCCTCAAATCATGTCTCTCAAAGGCTCCTAGCTGGACAGCACAAGTGGGGAAAATGGGCTCTCTGATTGGAATATGGGGTACCCACAGTGCACTGTGGTAGCTGGGGTGGAGATGCCAGTGGGAGCTGTTGAGCCAGAGAGAGTGGGGGAGGGCTGTGGAGGAAAAAGTGGTCTCAGATCCTGTGGTAACTGCTACACTTTCTGGACACCCACCATGACCCAGGCACTCTGCTGCAGGTCGCATAGTTCATTTCTCACACTGCCAAGAAGAAATCTAGGAATCTGTCCATTCTATTTTGTAATAACAGAATACCCGAGACAGGGTAATTCCCAAGGAAAAAAGGCTAATTAGGGCTGTTTTGGAGGCTGAAAAGTCCAAGCCTGGGTGGCCACATCAGGCAGTGGCTTCACGGTAATTTGGCAAAGGATGGCATGAAGCCGTGAACTACGTGTGGAGTAAACTCAAAACAGGTATTAGTGCCTCACTTTCTACTAACCTGCTCTTGTGGGCACCAATCCAGTCTCACAAAAGGCCATTTCTTCCTTCCTAATCGCCTCTCACTAGGTCCCTCACTGCTGTTCCATTGGGGACCAGGCTTCCAACACAACAGTCTTTGTAGGATGCCACATCCAAGCCACAGAACCAGTCCTGGTTCACTTTGCCCTCCTCCTACACTCATGCTCCCCTCCCACCCCAAACCTAAGCTATCACTGAGGTCTGCCAACTCTGCCTTCAAATTCCCAATCCTGTTCCTCCCCACAGTTTTGCTCTGGTTTCTCTATGCTCACTTGTGTCCTGCAAGCCCATTCATATGGCTGTCTGTTTCACTGGAACAGAACTTAGGCCTCCCTGGACCCAGCAGACTAAAAGACCCCCAGCAAGTCCTCTGGTGCCCTCTCAGCAACTCTGTGCTGTGCTTAGCTGGGCCGGAGGATATGGTTAGTTTTTCCCAGTAGTCCATAGACTGCTTCAGGGCAGGGACTGCTTTCAATCTCCCCAGGGCTCAGAACGGGGCTCAGCACTTAGCCCTGTGCTGATTTGCAGCATGGAGTGACTGAGGATCCTACTGATCTCAGCCTATAGACACTTGCTTGTCCTGTCCTTTTGACCAGAGGACAGTCATCCACCCCCCCCCCAACCCCCATCTCAAGGGACAGACAGACACAGGAAAGTCTTTCTGGAATTGCAGCAACATTTATTCTGAGAAGAGAGCAGGCTTCCTCTCCTCCTAATCCTATAGTGGGCTTTGAGAGGAGTGGAGCCCAGGGCTGCGTGGTGTGGGCTGCAGGCTCCCTAAGTTGTAAGGTGAACAAAATAATTGCTCTCCTTGACCCACCTCCATCCTCACCAACCAGTCTCCAAGGCCTCCTGGGGTCAGAAATTTCAGCACAGCCAGGAGCCAGCCTGGCCTACCTAGAGGGCTGTGGTATAGTTCTGCTGGGGGTGGGAGGCACACCTGGCACCCAGGCTGAAGCCTACACTGGCCTGTCACTTGGTCCTGATTTGCCCCTGTGTCCCTGGGGAATAGGGCTGAACAAAAGAACCATGTGTCAGCCCCAGGGGCCCAGGCTGGCTTACCTAGGGCTCACCTCTTCAGCCCTGACTCAGGAGTCCTAATTTCGAATAGACATCGAAAATTGGTGATTACGTGTATGTGTGTATAGTAAGCATTCAGAGATATACATGGAGACAGGGTATTCCCTTGCCCTTACTCAGCACTTGCTAGCAAGAGTGCTGACAAATAGAAACCATCAGTCCCACTTTGCAGAGGGAGAAATCGAGGCACAGGAGGTTTAAGTGACTTGTTCTTGGTCATGTGCAGAGTTCTAGTCCCAGGTTCTCATGGGAAGCTCTGACTTATGGAAGGAATCCTCTTGTGCTCCTTGTCTTTCAGGTCCTAACCCCTCCTGGCTCAGGGCCAGGACCCAGGAGCACAGCCAGCCATGGAGCAAGGAGGCAAAATCAGAGGATCCAGCACCTCCAGCCAGGTGACTGGCCCACACTTGAAGGTCTGGAGTCAAAGTTCAGGTTCCCAACAGGAATTTTGGCTCTTGAACAAAATGCACTTTCAATTTGCTTGCTGTGTTTGCTCTGAAGCCCAAGGCGGGCACTGAGGAGCCTCCAAGTGAATCTTGCCACCAGCAGGCAATAGTTCTCCATGGAAACAGTTGGCACCAGCCAACAGATGTCCAGATACAAATCTCTTCATCTTCACCCTCCTCCAGACCACCTCCGCAAAGGTCTGGCTTCATTCACATCTCTCCTCAGGTGAAATAAAAATAAAACCAGAAGACCAGCAAAACTGGAATTCAAGGAAGAAAAAAAGAGTTCAGGGTTTTCTTTACAAACCCCTGGTTAAAACTGAGATTTCTAAAACAGAAAGAATAGAAAACAGTGAGGACTAAAAAGACCATTTTGGTCCAGAGAACAAGAAGAGCACTGGCCTCCTTGGATCTTGGGGCAGTGCAGGCGGAGGGGCCTCTGGTCAGGCAATGGAGCTACCTGTCTCCTGCCATGCCCTCTAGGTGATACGATCCAAAGGCTGGCAGCATTCACACTGGAGTCCTTTCTCCTAGAAGCCTTGTGGCAGAGGGGAGCATTGCTTCCCCGTGGGCCCCTTTGGCCTCTCTGCCCACCTGAAGCACTAGCGGGACACATTCCTTCACACATTGGGCAGGAAAGTGCCTCTTCCTCATCCATGGCCACTCTCTCTTCCAGGGATCTCAGACCAGGGACTTCGTATGACACCGGAGTCTGGGCAAGCTGGCAGCTGCAGCTCATCTGTCTCTGAGAAGACCTAAGGGCACAGGCAAGGCCCAAGGCAGAGACAGGGCTCCATTCCCCTGCAGCCTCTCAAACGTGGCTTATGCATTTGGCAAATCTCTACTGAGTGAATAAACAGATTGGTGAGTGGACAGGATTAGAGAATAAACACATACCACTCACATGTTTCCCAAATTCTAGGCTGAGCAGGACCCTGGTGGGTGCCTGACAAGCCCTTTCAAGATGGCTTGAAAACTAGGTAAAGGTGCCACAGGAAGAGAGGGGGAGACTGGAGTGGGTCTGGGAGACAAGGGGCCAGGCTGGGGGTTGGGGACATGGCAGTTTGTTTGTAAACAAGTGACCTCTTTTTGGCACTCCTCAGCAGACAGTAGAGCCTTGGGAAATGTTTTCAACAGATAGAGTCCCTTAGCAGTAGTGATAACTGGGATGGGAAGGATTATTTTAAATCTCAGGCAGGTAGATTCCTTCATAAGAAAGGAATGCTTTGGGGTCCTCAGCATACTGAGGCTCTGAGTGAGTGTAGCAATCTCCCAAGGTCACACAGCAAGTCAGGGAAAGAGTGGGAAAAGGACCCCAGTGTTTGGCTCCTGGGCTGGTCCCAGGTCTCCTGGTGCAGACATGCAGGTGGTGTTCAGAATTATTGGGGCCAGGTAGACAGGCAGGTGTCAGATAGCCATGAGGGAGGCACGGCTGACGATGTGCACAGTAACGGTGCCTGGCAAATCGCTGGGCTGCCGACTGTTGCGGCCTCGGAGGTGGAGGGTGTGCACGGGCTGGAGGTCATCAGGTTCAGCCTTCAGTTGCACCTGGCCCAGGAACTCATCCTTCAGGACTCGGTAGTTCCAGATCTGGGAGGAGAGAGAGAGTCGTGGGAGGGATCATCCCTAAGACCAGGAATACAACCTATGGTAGGTGCTGGGGGTAATCGCTGCAGGGCCCAGAATCACCCCCCACAGTGTGGGCCTGGCAGGGACAGGAACCTGGAGTGTCTTCCTCACCACGAGCCTTGGGAAAGGATGTCCCCCATCCAAAGCCTTGGGCTCCCAACCTATCAAAGTGCTCTTCCACTCATAAAGATTACCATAGCTCTGTTGTTGACTCCCCACCTACCCTACATTCCCCATTACTAATATGAAGGTTTGATTTGTCCCTTGAGGTCCTTCTATCCCCAATAGCTATGGGTCTGTGATTTGATCTAGTGGGACCCAGAGTTAAAAAAACTTGGAAAATCTACAGTGGCTCCCCTGGGGTCCCCAAGTGTTTGTTTACAGATGGTTTCTCACCCAGAGAGATGTTGCTCTGGGCCTGGGGGACAGAAAGCTTCCTGCTAATGAGCTCAGAATCATCGTGCACCAGCCACCTTGGCCTGAGAGGAGAAGGAAGGCTGTGTCCAAGGACAGTGGCTTTCTATCCCCTGTTCTAGGTTCTTATAAAACCACCACAGCCCATACCATTTCAGTAGCTCTTGTTCAAATGACCCACCCACATAGGACTCTAAGGAACAGCTCCCAAGGTTTTGGGCAAAGCTGTCAGAGATGACCAATGTCCACAGCCAGGAAACTGACCCTGCGGGGTCTCTGAATCACACTGGCTAATCTAATCTCATATACAACCCTGATGTCGGTGCAGCAGGAGATGCAGGCAACAGAATACCAAAGCCATGCTGGGGAGTGAGGGACAGACCAATAACCACAGCCTAGCACCCCTGGGTCCCTGTCAAAGGCTCTTCTGCCCTGAGCCTGGCTGCCATGGGCTCACCTGGACAGTGATGGGCTGGGCCGGCTTCTTGCGGTAGAAGATGCCTTTCACATTGTACTGAGGCATTGAGGTCCCTTTCTGCACGGGCGACTGAACTTTTTCTCCCTCACACTTGATGATCACATAAGAGTTGGGCTCTAGGAAAGAGTGGGAGCTGGGCTGAGGGTGGGCTAGCTGGATGCCTAGGTGAGACACCTACCTGGCCTCAGTCATTTAAGGGAAAGCAAGATTGGAGCCAGACCCACCACATAGCCCAGGAACTTAAAGAGATAGGTGAGCCAGTAGTCTCTAGCCTCCAGACCTTTACCTCCGTTCACAGCACCTGTTACCCCAATTCTTTTCACCAGGCTTCATGCCTATTAGGGTATGCCTTCTCAGCCTGGAGAAAGGATGTCTCCCCCAGGAAGCCTTCCCTGAGCACCCGTGTCAGGTGTCTGTTCTAGGAAGCTACCAGGAAGGAAGCTACCAGGCAGGCAGTAGACCTGCTCTTCATTCTGTGCTCCAGATCCCCCGAAGTGGATACCAGGAAAATTTTGCTGGCCACTGAGTGTGAGCAGGAGAGCTCTGGAGGCTAGGGACTGCTGTGGAAGAGAAGGACTAGGGCAGCTACCAGCAGAACCAGGGCCTTTCCTGCTGAGCTCACCTGTTGTGGAGTCCTTCAGGCCAGTAGCCCCCACAACATGGACTTGGGTCACCTGCTGGGGGTAGCCACACAGGGAGCTCCAGCAGGTGCGGGGAGGCTCATCCAGGCGCAGCTCTCTGATGAGGAGGGGTGAGGGGGTGCCAGGAAGACAAGTGAGGAGGGGTTCTAATGGTGACATCTAGTCTGGGTCCCACACCAAGGGGGCGGGCGAGGGCAGTATGGGAACCCAGCAGGGATGGGGATGGTTTCAGTAGTCCCTGGGTCCCAGAGCCAGTTTCCACCCCATGGGATAGGGCATATGATAGCTAGATCTGAACGCTGGAATCAGACCAGACAGGGGGTGGGTGGTCAACACTCCCATTGACCATGTGCCCTCAGAAACCCTTCTAGCTTTGATCCTTATTTTCATGTGTAAAACGGAACGATCAGGCCTCCTGCTCAGGGGTATGGAACAATCAAGTGAGGCAAATAAAGCTGATTTGTAAATGGGAAAGTGCAGTATACATGACCCAGTGTTCCTAAGGGCTGGGATGGAGTGCAAGGGAAGGGAGAGGAAGGAGAGGGGTCAGGCCAGGATGGCTGGACAGCTGGGCTCCACGCCTCAGGCAGACACTTAGTACCACTTGGCTGAGGCTCCTCGGGGCCCAGTGTGGACTGCGCCCCACCAACCCTAGCCCTCACAGCTCCACACACCGGCAGTTAGAGGGCACATCTGTGAAGACTCGGAGCAGGAACTCGCCAGTGTGGCCTGGCTCAAAGGTGGTGGGGATGATAACATAGCGGCCCTCAGGCTGGTCCGTGCGTAGGAAGACACTGCGGGAATTGATGTAGATGGAGCTGGCGGCCTTATGCTGCAGGCTGTGCATGCGGTACTGGCGATTCTCTTCCACCTGCAGGAGATACACGGGCTGGGCCATACGCGAGCCCCACACTGCACCCAGCCCACCCATCTGCCCCTTGCCAGAATCCACGCAATTGAGCTGTCCAGAACAGGAAAGGAGATTAGTGTTCATCGGGTCCTGGGGCTGAAGGGGAGGAGGGCCCATGGAATTGGGTGGTGATGGCCTAAGGCAGCAGGATATCTTTGGTGGGTGATAAAAATGTCCAAAACTGACTGTGGCAATGGTTGTGCAACTCTGATAACATTAGAAGGCACCAGGTTATACACTTTATATGGGTGAATTGGACGGCCTGAGAATTTTACCTCAATGGAAGCTATTAAAAATGGAGAGCAATGGCCAGGCATGGGGCACACATCTGTAACCCCAGTAGTCTGGGGGTCGAGGCAGGAGGATTACAAGTTCAAGACCAGCCTAGGCAACTTAGTGACTTGGCAAGATCCTGTCTCAAAAAGAAAAGAAAAAAAAAAAAAAAGAACTAGGGATGCAGCTCAGGGCAAAGGCTTTAGGTTCAACCCTCAGTAGCAGAAAAAAAAAAAAAAAACAAATAGAAAAACCCACCAAAAAACAAAACAAAACAAAGAAAAAAGTTCCAAAGACACCCCTCCCCCCACAGCAGAACCAAGTACAAGTATCTGCAAGAACTTCAGATAAGTCCCACCCTTAAGGTTTCTACTTCTGATGGTTTCAGTGACTTGGAATCAACTATGCACTGAAAGAATTAATTTAAAAATTCCAGCAATTCATACATTTTAAATTTTACAATGTTCTTTTATACTGTGATGAAATCTTATACCATCTTGTTTCACTCCTCCCAGGAAATCAATCACCTTTTTTGTCCAGTATGTCCATGCCACCCATGTACACTACCTGCCCATTCTCACTGAGCACTGTGCTGGTTATCATCACAGTATATAGGGTTTGGTATTTGCCACAGCTCAGGCATCCACTAGGGGTCTTAGAACCCCATCCCCTCAAAAGGGGGAACCTATTGCATCTCCCCCCCATGCAAGGGGGGGACTACCTGCATAAGTCATAGCATAAATTTATGAAATGACATTGTCAGCTGCCAAGATAAGCTAGATAGTTCTCAAAACAAGTGTCACAGAATGCCAGTCACAAAAGTGAAGGTCATAACATACTGAAACAAAAACAAAGCGTCACAACACATCAGCACACAGTGCGTGTGCACCAGCACAAACATGGGCACACACTGCCTTGACATGATGCAGGACATCAAATGCCAGGACCTAGCATGGACCAAGTGTTTCACATGTCCATGTGTCTCCCTCCAGTTCTCAGGGGTCTGACAAGTATGTGGGGTCCTGCTGGGCCACATGTTACCACACACTGGGTATCACATATGGAAGCCGTGTATCCAGATCACAAGGAGGGGGACAATAATGAGTCTTCCTGGCTCTGTCAAGGGATGCTCCTCCCTTGCACAGGGGTCTCCAACACAGGAAGCTGCGCGAGATGAGAGAGGCCCTGAGCCTTGGGGACATGGAGCAGCGATGTGATGCTCAGGGGATCACAGAGCTCAGCCCCAACACCGACTCTTTTCCTAACCCATTTGACAGTCTACACTGTGAGCAGGAAGGAATCAGGGTCAGGTGCAGCATACTCTGTGGGCATCCCCGACAGGGACTGTGATACATCTCCACGATGTTAGCCAATGCAGCCATGATGGTTAGAGTGAGGACGGTGTCTGAGGTGTTCTAGAGTGTTCTCCCCAGGCCCAGGAGCCCAAAATCCACCTCCCCACATTCCTAACCCACAGCAGGGGGCCCTGCTGGCCTCACCTTGTAGATGTCAAAACCAATGGCCAGGTTCTCGCCTTTGCCCTCCCGGCGGGTGGATCGCTTGGGCCGCTGCTGGATGCAGATCAACACTTCATCTTCTGGCTTTTTGACCTCAAAGATGTACTGCAGGTTTGGCCAAAGAGAGACACTTCCATAAGACCATGTCACAGATGAATTCAAAAGCCAGGCCTCGGGGTTGGGGATTTAGCTCAGCGACATAAGCACCTGCCTTGCAAGCAGGCAGTCCTGAGTTCGATCCCCGGTACCGATAAAAATGAAAAAGACAAAAAAAAAAAAAAAAAAAAAAGCCAGGCCTCTGCCACCACGGGCAGCCTGAGCTTGGCCAGTCCTGTCAGCTCTGAGTCTTATCTCTCCTGTGACACAGGGCTGCTAATGCCTACAACAGCTACCCTGCATGAAGATTGGGAGAACTCAGGGAAATAATGGACACTCAGCCCAGAGCCTCACACGCTGTTGGTGCTCCATAAAGGCACATTAAGTAGTTGCCATGGCCTATGGCCAAGTTCCTCAGGAACCAGCAGAATCACGCTGTTGTAGAAACAAGGGGTGTATCCCCAGCTTGGCCTCTTAATATGCCTGAGACTCTAGGCAAGATGCTCAAGTTTCCTGGGAACCAGGTTCCTCATTTTTACCATCTACAGGTCAAACTATAAAGCTGGGCTTCATGACCTCTAGATATGTTAGTGTGCCCACCCCACTGTACAGATGGGTATGGTGAAGCCTAAGCACAAGCAGGGAGGCATGCAAGGTCATGCCAGAGCCTATGGTGAGACAGTGGTGGGGACCCACACAGGTGCTCAGGGGCAGGTAGGGACCCCTGAGCATGCCCACCTGTGGGTTTTGGAAGAATGTGTCCTTGTGGTTGATGCAGCCCCCACTGCGGTTCTGCTTTGGGTCCTCATGCCGTGTCCAGGCACCTCGCAGCCGGGCTTCTTCCCATGTCTTGTGGATGCTCAGGTAGGATGTGTTGAGGAGGCGGCACTTGATGATGTCCGTGAAATACCGGCACAGGTCCTCGAAGGTCATCCTGGGCACAGGGAGAGCAGGTGAAGTGGCTCCCAGGCCCACCTGCCCACTCACTCCATGCGCTCGGAACCCCAGCCACACACGGCACCGCACAGACCCTGAACCCTTTTTGGCTTCAATTGCCTCATCTGTAAAGTGTCGATGAATCTGCCAACAGCTGCCTGTCTCACAGAGCTAGCGTAGGAATGAACCCATTTATTCCAAAGATGGCAATCGTTTGTGAATGTTTGCATGAAATTCATGTATGTTACCTAGACAAAGTCAAGGAACAAGAATATGGAGAGAAAAATTTTATTACATTCCATGGTTCCGGGCATTCCAAAAATGGAACATTAGGCCTTGAAGGGTTAATTTGGGCAACAAAAGCAATACAGTATGGCTTTCAGCACAGAACAGCTGGTCTAGCTGCTGCAGCAACTGTTGAGAGAATCAATAACTAATATGTATAGCCCTCTACAGTTTGCAAAGTGTGTTTCTACCCACAGGATTCCACATCTGGTCTGAGGCCTCAATAAATGCGGTAGGCACCCATGGTAAGGATGCGGCAGTGGCCGGGTGGCAGGGTCACTAGGTGCTATACTTGCCTCTGGAAGCCTATGTGGAGGGCTAGGGAAGAGCATAGGGTACAACCCTGCATGAGAAGGGCTGCAGGGGGCCACTGTTTCCATGGAGGAGGGGTTTGGCTATGTTTTAATTCAACTGACCCCTAAGACACATTGGACAAAGTGTGCCTTTGGCCTCAAGGGCTGTGTAGGGAGCCCTTGAAGCTGGAGATTGATCACATGTGTGGGGCTAAAGCAAGGCCAGCCCAGAAAAAACAGAGAGACCAAAACAAGCTATGTAAACAAGTTATTTCAGCACCAAGAAGGCAAAGGGGCCCAGGCCAGCCAGGCAGACAAGTTGCTAGGAAGTGAAGTTGAAATTGACCTTCTTCAGGAGCCTATCTAGCATATAAATTAAAGTGCTACAGTGGTTGAGGAGTTCCTTTCCTCCCATCATCAGGATAAGGGCTCCACTTGACCCCAGCTTTGTCTGTTTATTTTCTCATCCTCTCACGGTCCTTCACCAAAAGAACCTAAAGAGCTACATGAGTCGTGGCAGGGCAGAGGCCAGAGGCCTGGGTGACCCCAGCAGCTTCCAAGAACCTGCAGGCAGGGTCCTCGACGGGGTGCCAGGATCACTGCCATCTACTCTGCTTTCTGGAGCCTACAGCATCTGCCTCACACAGGGAACCCCATACCTTCCATGGGGACCAAAGTCTCTAAACCAAGTGTTCTGCTGAAGGGTGACACTGAGTGTGGCACAGTTGGTATAGAACACAGGTGAACGACTGGAGGCAGGTTATCCCAGAGTACCTATTGGGCGCTTCAATCTCAGCTGTGGCCGTCTTCCCGCCCCTCCCCTTGCCCCCAGTTCCCTGCTCTTCTGAATTCACCCTTTCCAAACTGAGACAGGAGTACTCTCGCACCAAGCCAGGTCCCTGCACCCTGAGCCTCAGCTTTGGAACAAGCTCCTCCATGGTGCTTTTCTTCTCTCCCATCTACTCCTGGCATCACACTGCCCCTGCCCTCAGGTCAGACCCCACTTGCTAGCATCCTGGGCTTCTTACCAAGGGCTTAGTCTGGGCCCTGAGAAGCCCGGAGTCCCTCAAAGGGGCAGAGGACTACAGGATGAAAGGGCTCATTACTGCCCAACTCATTCTACAGAAACTGAGGCCCAGAGACGGCACGGCTTGTCCAAGGCCACGCAGCAGGGTGATGATGGGTCATGCTAAAACTGCCTCCCGTGCTCCCTGCGCCCACGCTCCCTGTAGGCTCTGGACACAGCACTCACCAGAACTCGCCATCGTCCTGCACGGTCACACCCATCTTTTCCCGCTCACTTTTGCTCACTTTCTGCCATTCCTCTGAGCTGGGAGAGGAGAGGAAGCAGTGTGAGAGGAGAGGCCCCACCAGAACTTTCCAGCCACGAAGAGAAGGCTGGGTGACAGTTCAGACCGCGGCCACCCTCAGTGGTTAGGGAACTGGGGCCATACCCAGCCCTGCTCTGTGCTCTCTCCCAGGGAACTGTGTGCTGTCCCCCACCAGGCCAGGAGGTCTAGAAGCAGACCAGGAGTGGAAGGGGAGGGCATGTCCCCACAAGGGAACTCCTTTACTAGGGGTGAGCTCCACTCCCCTCCTGGCCTCATCAGGCATGGCTCAGGGCATCGGCTCCACACACTCTCAGCTGGTGGCTGGTGGCCTCCACACCCCTGCCCGCTGTCTGTGTGCCCTCCCAGCTAGGTCCCTACCACTTCCAGGCCTTTGCCTTTGTTGGGGACCTCACTCCCTACCCCACTCCAAACTCAAGTCTCCTTTCTCTTTTCCTAACACCACCCTCCCCACATCCTTCAGGACCTACCCTCAGAAACCCCTCTTCTGGGAAGCCCCCAACCACCCTTTCCTGTCCCTGAGCCTCACGTATCACTCCAGGGTCCATTCCACTCCCGCTCGCCCCAGGGGTTGCGCAGGCGGATCATGTCCAACTTCTCTGACTTGAAGAAGGCCAGCAGGCCATGGCCCAGGCGCACCTTGCGCACGTCAGTGACAGCATACGCGTGGCCCTTCACTAGGCCGCAGGCCAGGCGTGCCTCCATGTCAGCTGCTGTCACCGCCTGTAGGAGGACCCAGGGGCTCAGAGAGGCAGGGACAGCCTGAAACCCTAAGGGTTCCCCCAGAGCACTGTCCCCTATGAGTAGGAAAGGGAACTGCACCCCCACAAAGGTGTGGGAAGGGAAGTGTCCACCCTGGGGACAGCTCTACAGTGTGTCAGGGCCAACTCGCCCTGGTTTGAGTGACTGATAAATATTCAGGAATTTTGAGAATTGGATATTAAGACATCGGTACCTGGAAACTGACCATGATGGAAATGTTTATGCCACCAAAATCAGGCCTTTTCTTTTTCTGGAGAGACAGCTTATCACGTACAACAGGACTGGCTCTACCTGGGTTCAAATTCTATATACACTGAGCTTTCTTATTAGACTCCACATAATTAATGAGATCAGACGAACCTCCTGTGGTACTAGCCCAGAGCCCACCTGCCACAGGGGTTCCAGCTGCCACTTAGCTTGATGCCTCATAGCTGGACTGAGGGACCTCAGGTGAGGTCACCAGGGGCCTGAGAGGGTCAGAAGAGAAGATGTTGGGTGTAGGGGGTTGGGGACACTGCACAGCACAGGATTAGCACAGTCTCAGGGCTCCTGTCCCCCAAAGGGTAGTCCAGATTATGAGCCGACTCCTGAGCCACCCCACTCAGGGCTGGAGAGCACAGAGTCCGTCTTGGGCCTGTTGAGCTCTTACCTTGATGGAGGCGCTGATGAGGCCTCCCCGGCTATGCACCTTTAACACTCGCTCAAACAGCTGGTTCCTCTTGGCCTCGTCATTCGCAAAATCACCTTCAGTCAAGTCGATGGGCTCCGAAACGCCACCTGTGAAGTCCACCAGCGCATCTGCAGTGTTGCCTCCATCCAGGGCCTGATAACAGCCCGCCAGCCTGGGAAACAATGCGGAAAGAATTCTGAAGTCATGCTCCCCAGCCAGTTTAAATCCTTTACCTTAGAGGACTTTCAAAAGTCAGAGAGGTCAAGCAAACTGCCAAGGTCACAGGGAAGGCTACAACAAGCCAACACTAGAACCCGGGAGATGACTGTCAGGCCAACATGTGTCTCACACTGTTTCATGTAATCCACACTGCTTCATGGCTCAAACTTCTCTAGGCCTCAGCAGCTACTGTCCAAAACTCTGGCAATTCTTTTCAAAAGTGTATATAATAACAGGGAGTTAGTTTTAGAAACTAATGCTATAACTATACCCTGGAATATTAAACTTCCATGGAAAAAAATACCTGGAAAAGAATTCCTGTGGTAGGGAAAATACTAATGTTTGCTTCCAATGTTTGAAAGAGCAATGGACCTGTTTTCCTATTATGCTTAAAAGGCATACAATAATTTATTTTAAAAAATACTTATTTGTCTAAAGGAATAATCATATGAAATCAGAGGGATCTGTGTTCCTGAGGTGAGAAAGGGAGGGACTTTAAAAACTTTATTATGGCTGGGGATTTAGCTCAGTGGCATAAGTGCCCGCCTTGCAAGCAGACAGTCATGAGTTTGATCCCTGGTACCAATAAAAAGGAAAAAGACAAAAAAAAAAAAAAAACCTTTATTATGCACTACTATGTACAGAATGCAAATTTGAGACGTGGAAAGAGACATATAACAATGCTGCTCATGTAAGTTGAAAATATTTGCCACAAAACAGCAACAAAATTTGGGTACAGGGATCTACAAACAAAAATGCATCAAATGGGCTGGGCATTTAGCTCAGCAGTGTAAGTGCCTGCCTGGCAAGCACAGGTTGTGAGTTTGATACCCAGTACCAAAAAAAGTTTAAAAAAAAATGCATCAAAGATGTTTAAAGAGTTCTCATTGGTGGGAGAACAGAAAGGAAAGAGGGGAAATCGAGGCCCAGGCCAGGGTGAGGCCTGGAGCTTTAACCAGTGATGCTGCTGGTGAACTCAGACTGCTCAGAACAAGAAGGGAGTGGGAAGGGGACTGATCTTCGTGCTTTCTTTTACTTCTTGGATTTGCTCTTGTAAACATGCATTCATTTTTATAATTTAAAAAGTAAAAAAAAAATGCAAAAACAAACAAGTATAAAATGGTGCAGCCACTGTGGCAACCAGCTTGGTGGTTCCTCAAGAAGCTAAACAGAACCGCCTCTGACCCAGCAATGCACTCCCAGGTACAAATATTTTTAAGTGAAAGCAAAGGCTAAAATAGACATTTGTACACCCATATTCATAGGAGGAAGCGTTATTCATATAGTCAAAGTGTCCAGCAACTAATGAGCAGAGACAAAAAAATGTAATGTTCACGTGCAACAGAAGAGTATTCAACCATAAGAGAAGGGAAATCTTGATAAGTACCAAAACATAGGTGGACTTTGAAGATATCATGCTAAGTAAAAGAAGCCAGACAGAGATGGACTAATACTGTAGAACTGCACTTACACAAAGACTTAGAAACAGGCAGACCTGTAGAAAGCAGAAGAGATGTTTCCAGGACTAGCTTGATTGGGAGGAACAGGTGAGGAAGTTACTGTACAATGAATGGGTTTCTGCTAGGGATGATATCAAAGTTTTGAGTACACAGGGTGGTGGTGGTACACAGCTTTGTGTTAATGACCTGCTGCTAAGCATGGTTAAGATGAAAAATACTGTGCTCGATACATTTTACCATAATAAAATTTAAACAAACAAATAAAAATAAACGAGGTGAGCAAGCAGCATGTGCTTATGTGTAGTCCTAGTGACTAAACAGGCTGAAGCAGGAGGGCTGCTTGAGCACAAGCGTTTGAGGCCAACCTGGACAACACTGCCAGACCCAGTCTCAAAAGACAAGTCAAATAGCCAAACAAGAGCAGGCCCAGAGGCAGCTCCCCAGGAGACTGAGAGCGGCTACATCAAGGGTGGTACATTCAGTGGCCACCAGGGGGCAGAGTTTGCATCTTTAGGATTAAAAATGGAACCTGCTAGTAAATTTTCTTGGGTTTGTTTGCTGCTAGGAGTTTTACTTTTGTTTTTCTTTCTTTCTGTACGTCCCCCACCCAAGAAGACTGATGAGTGGGCCTGGGAGGAGGAGCCTGGAAGCAGCTCCACTGAGCCGGCCCACTGATACTCCTATGATCTCAGATGTATAAGGGCCTGGGCAGGTCACTTTGCCCCCAAATCCTCCATGGTTCAGCAAATTCTGTGCCAGCCTTGTACTGAGTGCTGGGAACACAGGGCCTGGCACAGAGAAGAAAGAGGATCAGTAAAGATGGAAAGGATGGACAATCAGGCAGACACATGAATCAACAAGGGATACAAGCAAGATATCTGGTCTATCCCTCAAAATTCAGGCCAACTTCAGTCCCCAGGCCCCCAGCAGAGAAGGCCCAGCAGGTAGCGTGCACCTCGGGGCAAGGCAAATGACCATGCATGTGAGTGATGGTCTCAGCTACCTGTAGGACCCTTGCCCAGGTCCCACTCTGCTCTCTGAACAAGAGAAACTATTCCTTTTCCAGGGGTCCAGGCCTCTACCCCACCCAACATGGGCCCAGCTGAAGAAACATCCACTGGAGCCCTCAGTGGCACCACCCAGCTTGGCTACCTCCTGCCTGTGGTGTCACCTACTTGGCGTAGGCCTTCTCCACCAGGGCGCACCAGAACTCGTTGCGGGAATTGGAGTGGCAGTAGATGAGCTGGTTGTTGACTGTGGGCAGCTGGTCATCAATGACCACGTCCACCCACTCCCCAAAGCGCCAAAAGTGGAAGTGGAAGATGCCGGCATAGCTGTCAGGCTTCTCGGGGTCCCACTCCTGCTCCTTCCAGTCTGGGATGACCTGGATGAGGACAGCGGGGACAGGATGGGGACACACTGAGTGGCATGTCTGGCTCCTGTGCAAATGGGAGGTGTGCCTTTGAGGAATTAGCAGGGAAAGGAGTATTAGCTTGTGCCCCGTCTGGGTCATGAAGCAGTTGGGACTCAGCCTATCTCATCTCCTGGCATCAGGTTCCCCAAGTCTGCAGGTCGCTTCCAGTTGTGTCTCCCTATGAGCTCCCCCTCCCTAGACACCCCTTTGCATCTTCCCCCCATCTTTTCCTCACTGGCCTCCTTGCTCTCCCTGACCTCTCTGAGCGGGCTGCTCTAGTCCTAGCATTTTTCTGAAACCTGTCTCCTCCTCTCCATCTTGTTGGCACCATGTTGGCGCAAGCTCCCATCACCTCTGTGACAGCATCTGCAGTCCCAGGTGCCCTTGCCTCACACAGAAGCAGATTGATACAATCTTGTAACCACCTCCATGGCCTCACTTCTCTACTCCCAAGGGCAGCTACTCCTGCTGCCTGCTCCTTGAGCTCCCCACCTGTCTCCTCTGCCACTTCATCCACTTCAGTGTCTGTCCTCCGTCTCCAGGAAGCTCTCCCTGACTCCAGGCCAGGGCACAGCCCTATCCCCCAGACTCACAGCCCCTAGCACTTCTACTCTGAGATACATGAATTTACATTAAATACCCACATGACACTGTTCGACGTCTGAAATGATTCCTGGAAAATCAGTTCTCTGAGGGCAAGGCTCTATCAGTCTTGGTCACTACTATACATTCAGCATCTTGCCAGGCTTGGCCAAGACAGTGAATTTAATACATTGGTGCTAATTGAATGAATAAATTCACAGACACTGATTAGGACTCTAATAATATCTACTATGTATAGAGCATCATGTAAATGCTAGGTCCTGTGTCTGTGACTGCCATGGGTCACTTTAATTTAATTCTCACAATAACCCTATGAAGGTAGATCACTACTAGCCATCCCTACTTGAAGGTGAGGAAATCGAGTCTCAGTGAGGCGAAGTAACTTGTCTAGGGTCCCTCTGCAGAAAACATACACATTCCTCATGGAGCAGATAGACTGGGTCTGAAGCCAGGATTCAAACCCATGCTGGATTCTGAGCACCCAGATGTACCAGACTTGGTCCCTGCCCTCAGGAGAATCCCAGGGTGGCAGGAGAGCTGAACAGCTCCTTCTAGAAGAAAACCACCCGTGTATACAGAGCAGAGCAGGCCCCAAGCACAAAGACTGAGGCAGGTACAGAGAGGAGTTTTCAGTTCTCCAAGTCAGGGCCTAAGGCAGCCTGAGCCACCATCCCCACCCTCATGATCATTAAGGATATTTTTGTTTACACACCTCTTACTATCAACAGGGATATTTGGCAAAGAGAAATGCTCCCTAGTGGGACATTCAAGACCAAGAAAATAAAAATGCTAATCCAGGGAGAGGCATTACTGCCAGCAATGTAGCCTTGCTCTGTGTCAGACATAGGTCTGGGCTGTTTGTTTTGAGGGCGAGGCTAGCACAGTGGCCAGGAGAGGCAGACCTGGCACAGATGAAAGAGACAGGATCTAACCCTGGACTTCAGGGCCTCTGATTCTGTGTCTGGGACCCAGCAAGGCTCAAGGCCTGTTGCTTTCTGTCCTCCACTTTCTTCCAACGCTATGCCCTTTTAAAGTAACAAATCCCTTTGCTTACCTCTGCCCCGATTTTTTGTGCTCTTTCCCCTTTTCTCTGTTAAGACAAAAAACTGTATCAAAAATGAGCCCCTTGCAGGCTGGGAAGGATCATCCCGACTGCACATATGGGCAGGCTGAGTTACAGAGAGAAGCAGGAAGCTGTCCAAGGGCTCAGTTAAGCTGGGAGCAGGGGCCGGGCCCATGGCTCCACTTCGTCCTCCTCCCCCATAGACCTGTTCTAGTGCTTTGGACTGCATGGGGAGGGAGGGAGGCAAGCAGCCTTGCAGGGTGCAGGAGGTACTCTGGAACCTCAGAAAGATCATTAGACAAACTCAGGGCTTGGCCCTGAGCAGTCTGCAGCTCAAGAAGCAGCTAATGAGGCTCCAGGGTCTGGAGATCCAGAGTCAAGGATCCCAAGGGCCTCAATTTCCCCTCCTGCATCTCAACCAGTGAACCTGGCATGGCTTGGTTCCATAGCCTTCTCGCCGCTCAGCCCCTCTGTTGCCAGTGGGGTCCTGATCTGGAGGGAGAAAGACTATTCCGGCAGATGTGCTCCCACATGTACCCATGTCAGCACCCTCGCAGCGTACATCCGGCTATGTCAGAAGTTAAGGAAGCCACTAAACCTCCTGGGGTCATGTCAGAGGAGTCAGGAAGGAAGTAGCCTGTAGAGGTTCTCATCTGCCTCCAAGGCCATTCTAAGGGTCAGTAAGGATAAACAAACTAGAATAAAACACAGCAAACAGGATCACATTCACAAGGCCATGATAACCTAGGACAAATAGTCAATGCTGGAGAAAAATAAGGAATCAACTCGTCTTTCTGAAACTGGGAAATTAGAGGAAGGAATTTAGCAATGATCCTTTGTTCTACACACTGTGCCACAAGGAAACCAAAAAGTGGGTGATGTGAAGTCTCTATCTGAAAAGAATTTCAGCTAAGAAACAAGGAAGAAATGATAATATTGAGCCATTTTGCAATCACTGAAGAACTAATAAATTTAGCCAATGATCACTAATGGATTGTCCCATTATAAAAAAGAGGCAAAAAAGAGATATTCTGCACCTTCAGAATGAAAAATAGGACATCTATAAAGCATCTATGAAGAATCTATGAAACATCTATGAAGCACAGGCTAAAAACAACTGTCCTTGGACCTTATAAAGCCTCTGGAGCCAAACCCTAGTTTCTGGAAAATACAGAGAACACAAAACATATTAACACTGCAAGGATACAGTAAGTGAGATTCAGACAATGGGAAATCCAATTGGACCCATGACCCAGTTTCTTAAGAAAAAAATGAAAAGAAAGGGCAACCAACCAATTGCAATTATGGATCTTTGTATCTTATTCAAACAAACTACAATGTGTATGCATATTTGTGGCACAAATGGAAAACAAGAACATTTGTTGGGTATTTGATGATCATCCTTAATTTGATCATCTCTAATCCAAAAGTCTGAATCCTGAAATGTTTTGAGTGCTGACATCATACTCAGAATTTTTTTTTTTTGAGCACTTCAGATTTTGGATTTTTCAGAACAGGGATATTCAATAATGTTAAGGTTTGTATCCAGATGTCCCCCTAAAGCCTCATGCAGTCATGGCAGCAGGATTTTCAGAGGTAGCTGAATCTAGTTTGTTATTGATTCATGGTCCAAGGCTGGGGCTAGGGGTGTGTCTTAGTTACTTTTCTCTCCTATATTATGGAATTATTCAAAAATATCTCAGTTGAGTTGTGGTTATTATTTCATGAGCATTTATCTTTCACAGCTGTATCCAGAAATATTTACAGATGAACTGATAGGCTGCTGGGCTAGGGGTAGCTGATGATCTTTGTTGTGAAGCGTTGGGTACAGGGAGCACACTAGGTGGTGCTCTCTACTCTTATGGGGTCCATAGTTGACATTCCCCATCATCACAGACACCACACACAGTCTGGCAGTGAAAGCCCTGTGTGTAGGCTCTGCTGGTCCTTATCTCACTCCTCAACGTATCTCCTATGGGTCCTGCAGAAATCTACCATCCCTGCCAATCATTCCAGGATGCCCTGTGCCACCTCACCCCTTTATGTGTGGGTCCATCTGCCTTCACGTCCCCTTTTCTTGTCCCTTGAGGTTTAGTTCTAGGTACAGTTGGGGAGTTTCCTCCTGCATCTCAGCCTGGCCCCTTTCCTCTAGGAGCTCCATAGGGGCAGGGAAAGGCTGAACTCCTGCCCAGCCCCCAGCACACTGCAAAGGGTATGGCTCAGCTCCAAAGCTGACTTCAGTCTTGCTGAAAGGAAAATCCCCAGCTGATCACAGTGAGGCTCCCAATCAACGGGTGACCTTGACATTGCTTAAGACCACATTATCAATGTCTTGCATGAGAGGGACTTAAATTTAAACTGGGCCAACTCTCTGAATCTCAGTGTCCTCATTTACCTACCCTACCACCATGAGAACTAAAGTAGAGTGAAGTCAGAGGTGCCTGCTACACTATGGAGGGCTCTGCACATACGAAGCTGTCCCTTTGGTGTATGGAGTACCCACGTGGGCACCTGCACAATAAGCAGTAAAACTCAGGGCAGGGAAAGGGGAGAGATACCAGATCACCCTCCTTCCTAGAGGACAGTGTCCCATTTCCCTAGCTTCTGGGTTTTCTTGGGAGCTTCTACTCAGATCTCAGGGGCTGGACTTCAGTCCAGCCATAGCAGCAGATGCAAACATTGCCCAGGTCATGTGACAGAGAGGACTAGGGGTCAGGAGCCCAGGGTAGGCAACTTGCTTAGGATCTGTGTATGAACACACACCCATGAAATTGTGTGAGCAGATTCGGGGACATGCAGAGGGGACTTTCCAAATTTCTGCCTGGAACCTCGAATGCCAGCTCACAGCATTTCTGAGCGACACTGGCAGGGCTATGAGATGCAGGGGTGCAAGGGGGTTCCTATGTCATCCAAGTTGAGGGAGGTTGGCCACAGGACTGTCTGAGTCCTCAAACTCAGTAGGCTTTAGTTTGAGTCTCTGAGGCTCCTTGGGTCTCAGCTTCTGGCTCCAAGAGTCTCAAATTCCCCAGGGTTCAAATGCTGGGGTTGAGAGAGTCTGGAAAGACTTGGCGCCATTGCCATCTGCTCCTTAGGGACTGGGCAGCTGAGGCTGTAAACACTGCAAGGATTCCTATGCTGGCTGAAGCCAAGACCTGGGAAGGTCCTCAGCCTTAGGAAGACCCTTGCCCCGGGCCTCTCTGCTTCCCAGTTGCAATGTGAGGGCTAAGCACCCCCTCAGCTGCCTATTTGAGCTGGACAGGGCAGTGGAAGAGAATGCACCTCTGTGAATGTTCTATGGGACTACAGGGCCAGGCCTGGCACCTGACATCTCTCCACCCTACACTCCCTGCTGCCATAGGCACTGGCCTGCTATGTGATCTCTGGCAACTCTTTTTATATCTCAGAGTCTTCGGTTTCTGTTCACTTTACAAATTCTCTTGACCCTTAGAATAATTTGAAAAAAATTCATGAACTGGAAATGTGTACTAATAAAATAAAAAGCAAATTTCAAAAATAGGAGTTTAAAGTGTAACCACTGAGGCAGGAACAAACAACAGAGAGGATGTTACATCAGCTTTGTGGAGTTCAAGCGCTTTACACATAAACTCACTCAACTTTTCTGACTTCTTGAAGGAGCCTTAGGGACATTGCTAGATATCACATAGCTGGTCAGTGGCTGCACAGGACCGGGGCCCTCACCACTGTAAGCTTCTGGGTGGCAGAAGCTGAGAAGCGGAAAGTCTCTTTGGTCTACAATTTTCTTGTGGTTTCTAAGGAAAATGGGTGATTTCCCTATGATATCCTCTGGGGACTGAGCCAGGTCACTTCTACTATCCCAGGAGTGCTGAATTTCTCTGTTTTTGGGACCTCTCCTCTATTTCCCCAGGAGTGGCTGGGGGCAGTGGCTAGGAGACAGGCATGGGGAGGGGTGTGTCAAGGAAGCAGACTCCAGAGAAATTGGGTTGCTGGACTGGAGGAGTCTCTGGATGTGCTGAGGAGGGAAGTGAGGGAGACTCTGGGAAAAAGGAGAGAGACAGTGAGATATGGTTGCAGGGTTCTGAAGCAGGGTCACTCCTGGACAGAACCACAAGTGCAGCCTCTGACCTGTCTCTGGAAAGGAAGTCTCCTAGCTGACCCTGAGCCCACGACAGGAGGGACACATCCTAGGGGCCACTGTTGTGGGGTCAAAAGTGCATGAGCCCAGAGTGTGGTCCCTTCTCCTCTGGGCCTTGGTTGTCTCTGCCACAGAAGAACACACCTGAAAGATGCCAAAGGGAGAGAGGTATGAAGGACTGAGGGAGCACAAACATGGCTTGGCTTGTGACTATCAGAGCCCGTCTCAGTGTTACTGGGTTGTGCATTTAAAACTGCCAGAAGAGGCTTCACAGGACCCAGGCGTTTCCTCTGGAAGGTCTGGAGCTAGCATTGCGTCAAGGTCCATCAGAGGACACAGCCAATCAGTGACCACGTCAGGGGAGACCAAACTAAGCTGAGGACTGATCCCACCACACCCCTGGCCACCCTTTATGCTCCATCTGCCCCTGCCCAGTCTCCCCTGGCCTCCGCTGGTTCTCTCCACATCCCTGGTTTGGGCTACAGTTAGAAAGTCAGGAGACCTGTGAAACCCAATCCTGAATCCTGATGTAGGGTCCATAGTCACTTTACTGCTCTGGGCTCATCCTTGAAACCTGGCAGCAGGAAGGGGCAGGGCACGTGGGAGCTCAGAGAGGACTCAGTTTCTGGGGAGCAGCGCTCACAGTGAGAGACATACCACCAAGGCAGAGGCACACAGCCTTTATTGGGGACACACAGCAGGCACAGCAATAGCAGGAGGACTGGGGACTCCACTGGACAGATGAAGTGGGGATCAAGGTGGAGTCTGGACCAAGAGTATCCCTACAACTGCAGGGGGAGGCCAAGGAAAGAAGCAGAAAGTAGGCCCCTGCCCAGGGGTCTGATCTTTCCCAGTCCTCATTGGAGAATGAGGCAGCAATGGCCCCAGGCAAGGCCATCTCTAAGCATGTCCTTAACAGATTCAGAGCTGTAAAGAACTCACTCAACAGCCAAAGCCTGCCCCTCAGCATACTATACTAATGCCCTGGGGTTCACCCTCCAGTTGTCCCACCATCAGGGGGAGTTCCACCCCACCACCTCCCAGTTCTCAGCATATTTGTTCCCTAGACTAAGCGCAGCCAAAATATCTTGGACACATGTCTGGCCAAAAACATATGGCTGGCTCAGGCACACGGTGCTGGTGGCACTTGTTGAGAGGCTGTTAGCTGCAGCCAGGCAGCAGACCAGGCCCCTTCCCAGCAGGGGCTCTGCCTTGAATATTGTGAAGGAGAATGGAGATTGTGGCTGGAACTGGGTCTGCTGATAACTGTGCCCCTGTTTTTCTCTGGTGCATTGCCCCCAAAGATCTCAGAAGCCCGCGCTGCTGCCTCTGGCCCACTTTAGAACATCACCTATGGGAAGGGTGTGCAGGGCAAGTCCCTCAGGCCTTTTCCACTCACCTGCACTCCACCAAAGCATTCTGGGAAATGCCAAGAGAGGTGACAGGAGAACGAAACAACTGCATGTGCACCCACCCCCACTCCCAGTGAGCTGACAATCTGACTTCCCTGTGGGGGACATCTCTAGCTCCAGCTCCAGGTCCTGAACCCCTCTCTATGAAACTGTTTACCTTTCTCTGTACGAAGCACGAAGTCTTCCAGCAGGAATCCCTGCGCCAAGGGGGATTCAACCACTGTCATGTCAGCTAAGCCAAGAACCACATTTGAAATCAATTATTCAATGGCTAATCTAAAGGTTGCCATGTGTGGGTCAGACACAGACCTCTAATACATACCCATGTGAATAATAGTACACACAAATGCTCTCTCAAAATACCTACATGTATTGTGACTTGATATACTTCCCTTCATTTCCCTTTACCTGCTGTCACTCCCACAGGAACTCAAGCTCTTTCTGCAATGCCAGCCAATCCCCACCACCCAGACCAACCCATAGCAATACTGTCCCACGTCCTGAGGGCTTTGAGGTGTCACAGAATCACACCAGCTCAATGGTGGGAGCAGTCTTCAGGCTAAGTATTCGAATCTTGTGGAACTCAGCAAAGGTGCTACGGCCAACAGGCAGCAAACACCTGCTTGCTGAGTTCTGGAGGAGGAGGCTGCTCCTAAATCTTAGTCTCTCTGTCTCTGGAGGAAGCCAGATGGCAGGTGGTCTGGATCTCTCTTTCTCTCTTTCTCTGTCTCTTTCAGTCTATTTCCACCATAATGAAGCAGGGACAGTGGTCCTGTGGTCTTCCTATCTGCCCATGGTAGCACCGGCTAGGAATCTACAGCAGCAGTGGCAGTGAATGAATGGTCCAGCTTCTAGACTACAGAGCTGTGGGATCCTCCTGAGCCAAAGCACTGGCACCACAGAAAAGAAGGACATGGGATTTAGGGTGCCTCTAGTCAACCCCAACAGCTAGAAGAATGCCCCCAGAAATACACATGGGAAAAGGAGATCTGGGCAGCGGGAGGGTGGTGGGCCAGAGGAAGTTCAGCAGCAGGGAGTGGCTGCCATCAGAGCTGGCTAAACACCACAGAGGCCTTGAGGTTGTCAGGTTCAAGCCCCTCACCAAAGGTAATGAGGAAGTACATGACTTTGCGGATCTTGGCCAAATCTGACAGGCGCTCCCCAAACTCCAGGGCATCAGCCTCATTCCAATCCATCGCATCTGAGTCCTCCTTGCGCCAGAATATGGCAGCGGGGTCCAGCAGTTGGCGTGTCATGAGGTTGGTGAGGTCAGGTGTCCAGTTCTGAGAGGTGCCTGTGATAGTGACCTTGCCCGGCTTGTCCAGCACAACATTCCAGCGCTCAAACTGCAGCCTCTGCTGCTGGATAAAGTCGATTCGGTACACAGACTCAGCTGGCCTCAGCAGCTTCTCACCATCCTGGCGCTTCTCTCCACGCTGCTTCAGGCTCTCCACACGCAGCCGCATCTGCTTGGTCAAGCCTTGGTCCAGGACCAGTGGCATCTCCAGCTGCTTTGGCCCATCCTCTGCCATGGCCCAAGAGCTGCTCCGCTGTTCCCACCAACGTCAGGAGCCAAGTGGGCTGAGGCCTCAGACGCCAAGAGAAGAGGCCACCCCAGAGGACTCCACCTCCGTAATTCCCACCCTCTGCCCCAGTCACCACTCCACCCAGTTCTTCAAATGAGGTGTGTGAGAGGTGGGAGGCTCCAAATGCCTCCTCGCCACTCCTCATAGAAGCAGTAATGCGGCACTTCAGGCAAGCAGGAAGCTGACAGGCTCCTCAGAGACCAGTGTGCTGATGTCAACTGCTGTGGCAACCACCTTGACTACCATGGCTGGGCTGGGAGCTGCTTGTTTATGAAGTAGGGACTCCATTGAGCAGCCAGAGAGGGATGTGGGACCACACACCCACCACTGGCAGTAAGGATGGACTGGAAGATGCCTGGGGGCTCAGCCAGGACCAGAGAGGGCGAACCAAGGTCTGTGGATTCTGCTTATCACATGCTTTGGGAACCATCACCCCTCTGTTCCCACTGCCAGGATCTCATCCATGTCATTATCATTTCTGTCCTGGACCCAAGGTTCTCAAACTTCAGGGTGTACCAGAACTACCTGAGAGGCACAGACACAATGCTGAGAGTTTGCATTTTTAACTACCTCTTTCCAGGCGGCTGGTGCAGGGACTGTGCCTTGAAACTCACCGACACAGCTTCTTTTAACCTGGTGGTTCCAGACTCAGCCCTGTCCCAGGGCAGTCACATGAGCAAGTTTCCCTTTTACCAAAATGCCATCTCCTATTCCATCTATACTGACCCTCCTCCCAGGAGACTGGAGGTGGAAAAGAATCTGGCAAATGTTTACATACTCACTACCTAAGGTAGGCAGGAGCCCAGCCATTATGAGGGCATCGTGAAGGGTGACGGGCCACCACCATGATGTGCCACACCCAGAAAACAGGACAGTGGCACTGCCCAAGGCATAACAACTGAAAATAATCTGAAGGGCCTAATGGACCATAAGTGCAATTGATTGCCAGAGGCAAGTAAGTCAGTGGTATCTTGGGCTATGCGACCAACAGGGGAGCACGAGGAAGACAGAGCACCAGGTCTGCAGGTGAGGGATAAGTCAACAGTACAGTACTCACTTAGCACGTGCGAGCCCCTGGATTCCATTACCAGCACCACAGAAAATGAACCAACAGATATACTCCCTGAAGCCTGGGGTTACTTCTAAGGGCCCTTAGCAGGAACTGGAGGTGACTACACTATGGAAGACATTAAGCTGCCTGTTCTCAGAACCTTTTACTTTGTAGAGGAAAGGGCAGGGAAGAGAACAATTTAGCGGAGAAGCTACTGATGGAGGTTTCTTTTTCTCTGTGAGAAAGGAGAGATTCTATTCTTCCCAGCAGTAAATTTTGCATTTTATTCATATGTTTTCTTAGGTTTGTTTTGTTAGGTTTGTTTTGTTGTGGTTGTTGTTTTGTTTTGCAGTGCTGGCACTTAAACCCAAGTGTTTACACAAGCCAGGCAAGTACTCTACCGAAGAGCTACACCGCTAGCTCTAGTTTGCTTTGTTTTTGCTTGTGATGTCCCCACACTAGGCTGTAAGTCCTGAAGAGGGCAGGGACTGCTTGTCTTGTTCATCACATTAAGCCAGCACCCAGAATAGGACCTGTCACATAGGAGGTTCTCGGAAATGCTTGCTTAATAGTGAATGAATGAATGGGATGGATGGATGGATGATGACAGAACAGCTGGAATGATGAACTACAGGGCCCTAGCAAGAGGAAGAAGTGAAGATAGGGAGAGAGCACAGGGCACTTGGCAATGGCAAAATGAGACCAGGTGTGCGCTGGACTGGAGCGGGGTAAGAGGCCAGGAGAGGTAGGAAGGTGTGGGCAGAGTCTTGCGGTCTTAGGGGCAGGAAGAAGTCAGAAGACGCAAGTGGTGTCAAGCACTACTAAAGTCCACAGACCTCTGATCAGCTGCCAGATACCGGGAACACACAACAAAGGCTAAGCAGAGAATAAATTCAAGAAAGCAAGCTCCAAATTTGCATACACAACTGCAAAAAATGTGCATAAAAACCAACCAAACAAGCAAAATCCTCTTTAATCTCAAGTGGAAAAAAAAAAAAAAGACCAGAATGAAAATAGAATATTTTCAACTATGGCTGTTTTTGAGCAACAAGAGTTACTTGACAGTTTACCTTTCATAACTTTTTAAGTCTTCAGTCCCCAGTACTGAGTTGTGCACAGTGGACATGGATGAACACTGAATGAACTGCTACATAATGTGAACATGGATTGCTCACAAAACAGGGCAAGGACAGAGTAGGAAGCATTTAAACAGAACTAAGACAGTCTGCCCCCCAACCTGCTCAGGTCCTGCTTAAGCACTGCTCACCCGCATCCTTGCCCCTAGATGCACACATCTAGGCTCTTTCCACGGTCCCTGACCCCAGGCTGGACAGGAGGAAGCAGGTCTGACTCCTGCTTGGGCTTTAATAAACATTGAGGAGATGAGCTCATTGCAGACCTTGGATCTGGCCTAAGCCAGGCCTGATGGCAAATGCTCACCCACACTGTCATATCCTGGTTTTAGGTTTATAGAGCCTGATCACCTGAAGTCCACTGCCCTGATCTTATGAAACATGTAGGCAAGATGGGAGGCCATAACGACCAGGGATCCCCTGAGTTGGGGAACCCACTACCAAGGAGCATCTGATTGGGAAGGGATTTAAGTGTACCAAGAACCACTGCTACATGCCAAGGGCTTGTCCTCTTCCCATCACCTAAGGGTGCTGGGTCACAATGAGGCCAAAGAAGAATGTGACTGGTCTGAGGTTAATAACTAGCAAGGGACCCAGCCAGAATCGGACTCAGGTCTGGTTGTCTTTGAATCCTGTGCCCATGGGTCCCAGGCCCTTAAGGATGAGGAAAAGAGTAAAGGATGACTTCCGGGATCAGAGACATGTATATCCCAGGTGTGAGACACCTGTAGCTGAGGCTCGGCATCCAGACTGTGACCTGGAGGGTGGAGGCAAGGGTGCAGCTCAGCTTGACCATCTCTCACCTCCACTGCCCTTTCAGGGAGAGAAAGGTGGGGCTGGGGAGGTCCCACAGGGTAACAGGCCCAGAAAGTGAGGGGTAACAACAAACAGAGCCCAGTCAGTGGGGACAGAAGGGAATGTAAGCACAGTAATGAGCTCCGCAGGGACTGTCACCACAGCAGCACCCAGAGGTAGAGTGCAACTAGCCAAGAGCACCAGCCCGCCCCTTAACCTTCCCTAGCATCACCTAAGCTGCTGTAAGTCAGCCTCCTGGCCCTGGCAACCTTTAGACCCCCGGGCTGAGGTCCTCCTCTCCTCAGGAGGAATCTTCAGCCCTGGGATAAAAGTAAGCTTGCTGAAGGTGGCACAGTATCAAGGACAGTCTTAGCTGAGATGTGGACCCTTCCTCCAACAGCGCAGTGGGAGGCTGCTGCAGGGGACTACAAGCCAAGTTCAGCCAAGTTCAGGAAACCCCTTCCTGCACGTGAGCAGAGAGCTTCAGCCAACTCCAGCCCACTAATTGCTGCAGAGAAGGCAGCTGGTCAGGTCAGTAGCTGGGTCCAACAATCTAGGGCAGACCTTTCCTTCCAAACCTCTCTGGAGCTGTCTTTGTACATGCCACCACTAGGCTCAGTGGGAAGGGAAGGCCTGGCCCTGCTCTACCCTTTGGGAACTCACCTCGAGGGGAGATGGCAGATAAACAGGCAATTACCCAGAAAACAGAAGTGGGGAGCCAGTCCTCCAGGGCTCCCATGTGCTACCTCCAGTCCCAGGCAAGTCCTCATCTAGGTACCAGTAGGGCTCAGAAATAAAGGCCTGGTTCTGAGCTCAGATAATGGAGCTGGAGACTGCAGGCTGGAGACAGGTCTTTGCCCAGAGCATTACTCCAGATACAGACCCACTTGAGGCCCACAGGTGACAGAATCCCATAGGTAGCTCTCTGAGACCTACCAGCTTGGATATCCCATGAATTCCTACATCCTACACAGGATGCAGTAGGGATCTCCGCTAGGACCCTAAGGGATTATAGTATGCAGCTACCTGACTCCTACAGGACCATCAGGGCTCAGGCCCACGATGCTCATCCTGCTCAGAAGACATGAGGACAGGGAACCTACCACACAGTCCTAGCCTTGGCTGAGGACACAGCTCCCTCTGATGGCTGAAGGATGTCACGGAGGAAAAGGAAAAACCGTGCTCCACGAGAGCGCCCCTATTATGTTCTAGCAGTGTTAATTGGCCTAAGGCTAGTCATCAGGGCCACCTTTCCCTGAGGACAGTTCCAACCTCACACCTGCTGAGACGCACTATTCCAATTCTGCAGATGAGTAATATCAGGCCAGGTTCAAAGCCTCCAACTTCTAAGACTCGGTATCAAACCCAAGACTAGGAGACTCAAACACCTCTTATGTCCCTCTCCCATTCCTTTTGGAGGCAGAGCAGGAAGGGTTGAGGCGAGGATGGGACAGTGACTTGTATTTGCTAGGAGGGGAACACAGATCTCCCCTGCAATCTCTACCAAATGAATCTGGCCTCACTTTTTCCCCAGGAAAGAAACTTCAAGCTCCGGATTTAAGGCCCCAGTGCCAAGTGCTGCCACAAAAGACCAGGTGGCTAAGGCTGGGCTCATTCTTTCCAACTACAGCCCTTTGGCTCTGGTCCAGAACACCAGCAATGGAACCAGCAATCATGACCCTGAGAATCATCTGTACCAGTCCCACTGAACTGGGAAAAGCAAGGCTCAGAGAAGGATACCAGCCTGCCCAAGCCCACAGGAGGTTACTGGCCCTGAGCCCTGTTACTGGTGTCTCCACACTGAAAATGAAGCAAGAGGCTCCCACATTTCACAGGTACACAGGGACAGGAGACCTCCAGTGGAGGGGAGGAGACACATGAGAACAGATTCCAGTCCCTGCCCCTGGGGATTCCCAGCTGATGGGTTAGGAAGGTAAATCCAGTGCTCGATCATCCTGAGTGTCCCACTGTGACCACATCCCTGCCCTGGTGCCAGCTTTCGGGAAGCCTAATCTACCACATGAAAGTGAGAAAACCAGCTGCCATAAGTCCAGCCCACCCCAGCCCACCCCAGCTGCCCCAGGCCTTACCTTTTGCCACAGAGAATCCCGGGAGGCCAGTGATGAGCAGGCAGCCACAAACCAGCAGTTGCCCACCTGGCCCTGGTGCAGGTCGTGGGAGCTGATACCATCCACAAAGAGGCGAGGGTTCTCACAGATGTCCTGCAAGAAGGCAGGGCAATGTGAGATGAGGAGCACGAGGGCTCCCTGCAGCAGGAAAGGGACCTCAGAGTATGTGGGGGGTTGATCAGTCTGCCACAGATCAGGGCTCACATGGCCTGTCTGCTCTCCAAATCCAGTTCTCCCCCCAGGTCCTGCCTGGGACACTCTATTCTTCCCTGGCCCAAGCACTCTTCTGCCAAAGGTGTACTGATAAGCAAAGATAGTGAAAGGATGTCAGATGTGGGCCACTATCATCTTTCTCCTGTGGCCCTCCTATCCAAGTCCACACCGAGAAGCCCATGCTCACAACAAACTGGGTAGTAGATGTGAGACCAGAGAGCTTGAAGAGTGCAGAAAGAAAAGACTAGGGAGTTGATGGGCCAGGTCCTGTGTGACATGCCCCTGGTACACTCATCTGATCTTCTAATGCCTGAGGAGTATGGGGTTAGGCTGCTGTTTCATTTTATGGATGAATAACGGAGATTCAGAGAGGCAAAGATTAATCAAAGACACACAGCACACAAAGACCCAAGAGGGGCAGAAAACAATTTTGATTTTCCATAGCAAATGGCAGGCATGGCCAAAGGGGCTGCTCACAGGATGTGTGGGGAGCCAGGCCAGGACAGCTATCAGGCAGGAAAATGACTCATGCCCTCCTGCTGGCCCCAGGGCCCAGCCCTTCCTACTGCTGAAAGTCACTTGCTATCCACTGGAGAGGGCAACTGGGCAGCTCCAGAACCAGCTGTTCTCTGCACAGGTTTGAACCTGGCCTGGGTTCCCACATCTTCAGGGTTTTCCCTAAGAGTCCCCTGAGGCAGTGCTGGACAGGAGGGAAAACACTGGCTTTGGCCTATAGCACGAAGAGATACAATCTGCCAGGGGTGGCTCCTGGCATCCTCAGGGACATCATGCCACCCAGCCTGAGCTGGGTGCTGATCAGGTCAGCACAGGGCAGCAGAAGGGGTCTGCATAGCCCTGGCCCTAGCCTGGGGAGCAGATGTGAACTGAGGAGCCACAGAGCTCCTGGAGGGCCTGCCTGTGCCCCATGTAGACCTGATAGGCCATCAGTGGTGGGGCTGGGCATGAGGGTTCCTTTGCCCTTATAAGGCCAGGACTTGTCTGTGGCTGCAGGTGGCACCTGTGTTCATGGTTCTCCACCTCAGGCCCCTCTATTCCACCAGCACCTCACTCCACAAAGCAGACAGGGAGTGAAGATAGGGTAGGGGAGGCACTAAGTCATCTCCCCGTACCAGGTATCCTGCTGGCACCACAACCAATGCTCACCATGGCCCTGAGAGTTGGGCAGAACTCTTCGCTTACAGATGAGAGGCTGAATAGGGCAGGAAGGCCATGGTGCTTTCCTTCAGCAGCTTGGCTCCGAGCAGTTACAGCTATTGAGGCCTTACTTCAGGTGACAGGCAGAGGGCAGCAGAACTGTCAACAAAGAACTACTCCTGCTTGCCACTTACAGGCAGTGCAACTTTGGCCCAGTGGCCCAGGCTCTCCTCACTTCTACTTCCTCATCTGTGCAAAGGGAACAGACTTATCTTTGCAGGGCTGTGCGAGGCCTCCACAGGTCTCAGTGGTTGAGCATTCCACAGGGAAAATGAGGCTTAGGATATTCAGGTCCCATACAGTGCTGGGACTTCTTTGTCCAGAAAAACAAGTGTTACAGGACCAAGGAAAGGGATGTAACTCCTCAGAGGGCATACACGATGGCTCAAGACAGCACATTAGGGCAGTTTTCCCACAGCAGAGGTCACTTCAGGTTGTGGAAAACTCATGGACACAGTGGCCCTCATCTTGTCCCCAAGTTCATGCTTTATCTCTGGGGAAGCAGAGGGAAAAGCCAGAGCCTATCTCCTGCTGCCTCTCGTTTTTATCTCCCAGCTGGAGCCACAGGGTGCTATGACTTAGCATCGCTGTGCTGAGGCTGGGAAGTGGGTTGGGCAGGGGTCCTATCTGGAAGACTTGGCTACATATGCCACTGGAAGACACCAGGGCTTATGTTTGGGAACAGTGTTGAGGTGCCCCTCTACTTTAAATCCCCCAGCCAGCACTCTGCAACATAGACTGCAGGAGAAGAGCACAGGCCCAAGAGGAGGCAATGACATCCAAAGGAGGCATGGGAATGGACAGGTGGACAGTATGGGTCTGTAGGGATCCTCTGTGTGGCACTACTGAGGCAGACCTGGCAGTGCAGCCAGAACAGGACTTTGACCTGGACATCTCTCCAGCTCTTGAAAGGGAAACCAAGAACACTTGGGTTTGGGCTTCAGGGCTCTTGGGTTCCATCCAGGGCACAGGGATCTGGGGTGATCAACAAGGATTCCTGGCTTGGAGTCAGTAGTCTGACTCAGAGAAACCAAGTAAGGTCAGTGGCACCCAGAATTCAGAGGCCACTGTGTGGCACCTGTAAATGAACAGTCACAGAAATGGCTCCTGAGGAGCAGGCACCTGCTGTGAATTGGGCACTGTGCAAAACAACCCTGTTAGACCAAATTGCCCAGGGCTGCACAAGAGGCTGTGAACTGAGACTCCCGCTCAGGGAGCTTGGCTTGAGAACCTCTCAGTAGGTTAGTTTTCATGGTGACAAAGTCACCCTTCCTTTGCTGGCCCCTGCACTGTCCTCGTGGGGGTGGGGGGGCTCTAGCTACACAGGAGTGAGATAAAGTCCAAGCCTTCACCCTCCACCTTGGAGGCAAGTCTTCTTAAGACCAGCACTTGTCCTTCTCCTTTTCCTGGGCCACCACCCAGGACATAAGCCACTGAGTGGGCCAGGGTTGGTCTCAGGAAGAAGCAGGTCTGTGTGAGCAGAGCAGGGATGGCAGGAGCCCAGGGAGACCAGAGACACTGGCAGGGAAGCGGCACTGGCACTTTCATATCATATGGGCAGAGGGATGGTGGGCAGGGGGGTTCAGGTAGCAGAGGATTCCAAAGGCCTCTAAGACAGGGTCCAGCTACCCGCTGGAGATAGACACTGCTTCTGATGACATTTACAGCCAGCCACCTGCATCCTTCCACCTCTGCCCATTCTGGCTTTGCCTTTGAGTCTCCCCCATGCCCCAGCCATGAGCATTTCCAGGGCAAGCAAGACCCTGCAAGTTCAACCCCGAAAAGAGGGTTCACTGAGAGGAAAGGAGGACAAAGTGACACAGAGGCCTAGGCCAAGCCATCTGAGGGCTGGGGTGACCACTTTTTTTTTGGCTTGCCTCTAGGGCATGGCCTCTTGCACCTGAAGGAAACTCTTACCCAGCCTGCTAGGCTAGCTTCACAAGGTTCAGGTCACAGCCACCTCTCTCCTGGCACAGCAGGAAATTCAGGTTTCCAGTCCCGGTACATAAACAACAGGAATGCAACATGCACACGCACACACACAAAGCTGCACCAGGGACCACCCCCCCTCGGCCCCCCATCTCTCTACCTCTTCAGCCACTCAGCTTCACCTGTCAACTCTCCTGCAATCTCAGGTCACAGGAGCCCACTGTTTCCTCATCCCTACCCCATCTCTTCCTGGAGACCCCATCCTGGCTGTCTTGTCTAACAAGCCTTGCCTGACCTGAACTCTCTCAAGCAAGTGGTTGGAAGGAAGGGGCTCCCGGGCAGGAGAGCTGCCCAGCAAACCATCACCACCTGTGCTCCCACTAGGGGGCTTGAGTGCAGCACAGACCAGGAGCACAGGTCTTCCTGGTAAATGAGCACAAGCCCTGGGGGCTGGCTGGGGCCACAGGCTTGGGCTTGGAAATCCAAGGAGAGTCCCACACTGACATCTGTTCACAGGACTCCAGCTTGTCCTCTCTGCACTCCAGCAGAAGTAGTGCTGGGTGAGGGCACAGTGCAACCTACTACAACCCAGGCTCAAGAGGAAAAAGGAGGACCCTTCTCCCTGCCCCCAGGGTTTGCTGACAGTCTCTATCTGCCTCTTTATCCCTGAGAAGACTAGAAGAGGGTGGGAGACAATTAAGATCTTAAAAACAACAACCAACAACAAAAAAATCCAATAATCCTCTAGGGGTTGGGCCTGCAGTGGGTGCTCTGGGTGGAGACTAAAGAGGACATGCCCAGTCCCCCGGTGGGGGAGTGGGGGTGAATCAGTAACAGTCAGTATGAGAACACAGTGGCTTTGGGTCCTGTGTTGCCAAAGAGAAGGTGGGCAAGGAAGCTTTTCACTGTCCCCCATGTGTCTGACACCTCGGGCACCTCACTCACTTCAACCTTCAGAAATCAGAGTCACCCAGAAGCACTCGCCCCATTCACAGAGGAGGAGGCTAAGACCCAGGGAGTGAGGTGGTCACACTTGGCCTCGGGAAGGAGGGATCGAGGCTGGAACTAAGTCTGTGTGGCTCCAACCCCATTTTGGGAGAAAGAAGGGCAGAACGGTGAGAGGCCAGGAGCCCAATAAGGACCACCTCCCCTGACAGAGAATCCACCCAAACATCCCACACGCAGAGGAGGAGTTGGAACGGGATAGTGAAAAAGGGCTTCCCTGGGCTGTAGTAAAAATTGGCTTTTGATTTTGTTTGTAAACAGTTGGTCATCTGTGACCAGGAAGTAGGATTCCATAGAGACAAGCTAGCGCAGGCCAAAGTTTCACTGGCTAAAGGTCAAGAGGCTGAGAGTTAACAGTTTCGAGCTGGACCAACCCCGCCCTTGAGGTAGAAAGACTTGACTTCCACTTCCTGTTCAACAACCTCCCAGCCTGTGGGTAACAAAGCCAGGTGGTAATGGTGGGTTGTTCTGCTCCTTGATCACAGCTACAGGCAGTACCTGAATGTTTGTTTTGTTTTGTTTGAGGCACACACACTTGTGCCCGGGAGGTGCTGGGGACTGATTCAGGGCCTCCCCATAGTGCTCCATTCCCAGCTTGCTCCTTCATCCTTTCTTTTGTCCCCTGCCTCCCCCGCCCCACCTCTTTTTTCTCATTCTTTTAGTTTTTTGAGATAGGGTCTTACTATGTAGCTCAGGCTGGCTTCTAACTAGCCTTAGGCTCCAGAGTGCTGGGATTATAGATATGGGACATTATGTCCAGATTCTTTCTGAGGTAGAATCTTACTAAGTCACTAAATTGTCTAAGCTGGGTTTCAACTTGAAGGCCTGCTTCAGCCTTCCAGAGTACGGGGATTACAGGCTTGTACCACAACAACCACACACATATTTGTGGCAACCACACATAAATTTTTAAACCCACATAGTCGTCACCATATCACCCACATGGTTTCACATCCTGGCCTATCACTGTTCACCCATGGGGTTCAGGCCTTGAACAGCCTCCCAACTGAGAACTGATTTCCCTTACGCCTCACTCAGATGTCCCCCCATCACCAACCACCACATGCTGTCATGCATCCCAGCAGGGTACAGCTCTGCTCTTCCTCAGCCCAGGCTGCCAGTAAGGTCGAACCCAGCAGGTGCCAGGGAGGGAGGACACATGGCAGGACTTGAACCTGTGCAGCAAGGGATTCAGAGAGGGCAGTGTCTCTAGCAGGAGCACTCAGAGTCCCCAGCCTGCCCAACCTGCCCCAGCCAGGCCTTGCTGGCCTCCTTTCAGCACCATGGAGTATAAATGCCTTTACCTTTAGGTCTGGAGACAGCCAGGGACAGGAAGGGGGCAGGACCAGGGGGAAGAGCACAAGTGAGCAAAAGAGTTGAAGTATCCATGCTCCTCAGCGTACTAGGGACTCATAAAGGCCCTTTGAGATTGGCCTCCTTCCTCACACACTGGACCAAGGAGAGGGATGAAGGCCAGGACCCAAGAAGTGGAAATCTCATAGCCCAGTCAGGAGGTTTCAGGGAGCTCTGGAGGACCCAGGCCAAGGTCAGAGATTCTATCGAGCTCATTGGCACAAGACCAAAAGGCCAGGACCTCTGGGGTTCCGGGGGCTCCCTAGGTAATCACTGCCTGAAGCCAGATGTTCGAAGGCTCTCATGCCCTCAGAGCCAGTGCTGAAGCTCCTGTCCCATCCCATCCTCACCCCTAGTAGAGTGACCCTGCCATGGCCAGGCTTATGGGCCCCTATCTGCTAAGCAAATCTCCCCAGCACCTCTCACACAGGCCTTGTGGCCTTGGTTCTGAGACACCTATCTGAGAATCACACAGCAAGTTAACAGCTCCCTCCCAGCCTGGGTGACCAGAGCAAGGTCTCCTTATGAAAGTCCTTAAAGTGAGACTACTGTTACAATTACTGATTAATCACCTTAATGAATATTTGTCATTTACGCAGGCAGTTGCCTTCGAAATGTTTATAATAATCATGAAAACATGTTCCTTATACTTGAATATTACTCAACATTTTGCTAAACAAAGGTCACATCCACATCTTATTTTTAACCGAAAAATGACCCCAGGAGGGAGGGTGGCAGGGATAAAGGATCCATAGGATTTGGGTCCATTTTCATGTCTCCCCTTCCAGGTCAACTCTCACAGCAAGGAGCCTGTCAGGGCCACCCCAATGTCCCCGCAGACTCAGCCCATGGAGAGTCACGTCCACCCCAGTGGAAACCACACACTGACCTTGGGTCGCTTCCACCTCACTGTGGGTCCTGGGGTGCCCTTGTAGTAGAGCGAGTCATCAGTGGCAGGGAAGTTGGGGTCCTCGAAGAGCACCTTCCTGCGCAGACAGGCCCGCTTCAGGTCAGAGTAGTTCTGGTTCTCATAGGCTTTCACACAGGAGAACATGGTGGCAGCTGCCCCAGGGAGGGGAGGCAGGAACACCTGGAAGACAGGAAGGCAAGATGACGTCACCTAGAGGATACTGGGGTTCCTGCTGTGCCCCTATCTTGTGTGATTCCTGACAGCCCTGGGAATCGGGAAGCCCTATCTCCATCATACAGGCAAGGAGAGGAGGCTCAGAGAGTGGTGGAGGCTTACCCAAAGTCACAGAGCTGGTACCAGACAGAGCAGAGACAGGCCACTGGGATTCTCTCCTTTCTGAGAGCCGGAGATGATTCCAGGCCACAGGCAGTGAGCAGTGAGCTCAGGGCGTTAGACACAGGCCACACCCATCTCCCTCCCTCCCTTTGTTTAATCAGCCTCCCTAGACCTCCCCAGATTGAATCAGAAGAAGGCCAACCCCAGCAGGTCTCTGGCCAGTGTCACACCCACAGGGAAGCAGCTGCATCCCAAGGGGCCCACTTCTGCCCTGTGAGAAACCTTGTTTCAGGCACCCCTGAGCCATCACTCACACCCTCCCCAAGTGTTTCCTCCATCCAGGAACCTGATCCTCTAGAAAGCAAGCTCAGGCTCCTGAGTCCCCAACCACCACCCCCCCCCGCCCTTCACTCTCCAGGGGACACAGGGGTCCAGCTGGCACCCTGCCACTTGTACCCGCCTACTGACCAAAGTTAAGGGATATGGACAGGACCAATGTGGAAGGGAAGAACTTGAGAAAGAGAAGGAAAGCAAGGGCAGGAAATGGCACATCAGGGGTGCTGACGGGTGCTTGGACGGTATCACAGCTGAAGGACTGTCCCTTGTATGCCAGGCTGTTCCTCATTCTCCATTCAGGCTGCAAGAGCTCAGCTCCTCTTAGACCTGCTCACCCTGGGGCTTCCCCAGCGCAGCACTGCAATTTCACTGAGGTACAGGCCGGTTTTCCAGACCAGCCCTGAGGGAAACTGAGGCACAGTGGGTTGATTCCTGAGGTGGTTTGAGAGCAAGACTGGTATGGGTGCCAATCCCAGTTGTACCAAGCCATTTTACTTCTTGAGTCTCCTACTTCTCATCTCTACAATGGGAATGATGCTGCTTCAAAATCTAGCAGGCAAGTCAGATGTAGTAGCACCGGCTTGGAATCTCAGCACTAAGAAGGCTGAGGCAGGAGGATTGTTCCAAGTTCCAGCCTGAACTGCATAGTGAGACCCTGTCTCAAAAAGACAAAAAAAGGAGGAAGATGAAGGGATGGGAAGGGGGAGAAGGAGGAGGAGGAGAGGAAAGAGGAGGAGGAAGAGGAAGAAGAAGAGGAAGAGGAAGGAGGAGGAGGCCAGAAAGGAAGAATGGGCAAGACATGACCAAGTCCTATCTCACTCTGCTGGCTCCTACCATATGCAAGCCATGTGCTAGAAGTTTGTGTCTATCATTTGCAAACCCTGCTGGGTGATCACATCTGCCCCCAGAAAGAGGGCAGAAGTGACGTACCAGAGTTCCCAGAGCACCATTGCCCCTGATGACCCCACTCAGCTTTTTGAGCCTGCCACTCAGGATGAAGAACTAATCACTGGGCCAGTGGGGCTCCCCTAACACCCTACTGCACTGTGACCTTACAGGAGAGAAGAAGTGGATATTCTCCAGAAAACAGAAGAAACAGAAAGAAAATGAGGTGGGCCAGAGTGTGGACACAGATGGGTAGCAGGGACTGCTCATCATCCTGCCTGCTGACCGGTGACAACTGCCTTGTCCCCTGCACTATGCTGCAGCTGCTTCACTTCTGACCTTTTCATCCATAGAGGGCTTCTGGGTGACCTCAGGTCAACAAGTTAACCTCTCTGGCCGCCCCACCACCCTCTCCAGCCCTTGCCACACCTTTCAGGCCCAGGAGGATGGAGAGGAGGAACATGGAGAGCCTTCTGGCTCATAGGCACAAAGCACAGTCATTACAACATGGGTTTCCAGCAGCTGGGAGCTCCAGGAGCAATTTAAGTGCAAGAATTAGATTAGAGAAGCTGAAAGCAGGAGCCTAAAAGCCAATTCCATGTTTCAGAACCCAGAGGGCCCAGACAAGGGCAGCAGGCTGGTTGGAGTCACACAACCAGGCTGGTGGAGAATGACAGTTCAGCTGTGCTCCAGGATGTACCACTGACTGGAAGGCTCTGCTCCCAGGGAGGAGAGAGTGGGGTTATGGTCTCAGAGTTAGGGTGTTCTGCAGGAGACAGGTCCACTCAATCAGAAGCTAGGAGGCCCAGAGGTGCAGTGTGATTAGGACCTGGCTGAGCCTAGTGAGACAATGCAGATAGAGGAGTTAAATCAGAACAAGGGCACTGTACTTGCTGCCAGGAAACCCGCTCACAAGTCACTGAATCCCACAATGAACTGCTGCATGGTCTGGGACAAGTCATGAGCCCTCTGAGCTCCTGTCAATCAACAAGCCACCCTGGCCCTATTTGGTTCCAGCCCTCTATTGTACAGAGGACAGACAGAAAGTAGCATCTGACTCCAGGCCTGAACTCAGTCTGTCCTTGCCTGAGGATCAGTGCATATCCTGTTCCAGGAGCCCATGGCCTGGCCTGCTGCTCCTTGAGCCTGCCAGAAGTGGTAGAGATAGCCCAGCTATGCATGGACTGTTCCAGCAGTCCATGGTGCCTGGCTGCAGGAGGAGGCTGACACTTTGAGGAGCCTTCACTGGGCCTGACAACCACTGAAGCCATTTTGTACACAGGAGTACACAGGAACTTCTAAGTCTTTGGCTTGTTAGCTGGACTAAGCTACAGCTTCCCAAGCAGGGCCTAGGCTGATACTGTGATATTTTAGGGGAAGCTGACATGGCAATAAAGACATTTTTTGGGTCATCATTCCCCCTGCAATTCCCACTCATGGATCATTCAGTGTGGTTTAGATGTCTTTACCCTTCACAGCCTGCGCCCATCTCCTACCTACTACAACCAGGGAGAAGTGGACCAGCCTTCCATAAGCAATGGCATCTGGCTGGAACCGAATGAACTGTTTTCATTTTTCCTTTATTTATTTTTATTTTTTATGGTACTGTGGGTTGAATCCAGCACCCCCAGCATACTAGTAAATGTTCTATCTCTGAACCCACTTGTAATTGTACCCCTGCCCCCGCTTCCCCACTTGTACCATATTTTAAAAATTCTTCCAGTTGCCTTTTCTTCCTAGAAAGTGACATTAACTTCCTATTTATAGTAGATACACAATTTCTCCAGCCTCAAAAGGAAATGGAAGAAGAAAGAAGGAAGGAAGGAAGGAAGGAAGGAAGGAAGGAAGGAAGGAAGGAAAGAAAGAAAGAAAGAAAGAAAGAAAGAAAGAAAGAAAGAAAGATTGATTAGAAGTGCTTAGTGGCAGAGCACTTGCCTAGCATATTTGAGGTCCTGGGTCAGTCCCTAGCATGTGTGTGCACATATAGGAAAAAATGGAGGGAGGGAGGAAAACAGAAAGAGATAGACAGACAGACAGAAAGGGAGGGAGTGAAAGAGAAGGGAAGGAGAGAGAGGGGAGGGGGACTGGTTACAGGAAAAGGAAGCTAAATTGAAGAAAAATAAAATATTAAGTTGCCAATAGTGCAGGTGGGGCCCTCGATATTACACCAAGATATGATGGGTAGTGTGCTGCCAATACTGGGTTCCAGAGCTGTGCCCAAGGGCCTCCCTTTCCTTTCCTCTTCTTCCTGATGGCTGGGTGCCAGGCTGTATCCACACCCCTGTCCAGGCAGAGGTGGTGCATTCTGGTGCTCTCAGCTGTGACCCAGCCCTTCTATATTCCCTAGGGCCTGTCTAAGCTCTGAGGCCTTGGACATAGCCACTCTGATCTGCTGGACCTTGCCTGTAGGGAGAAGCCTCTGAGAATGGAAATAATGAGCCTCCTTGAGCCTCTGGAAGGAGAATAATGCAGCCAGCATCAGGGGCATCGTAAGAACCAAAGAACACTGCTGACCTCAAGTCCAGCAGTAAGAGGGCCTCAAATCAGCATACAAAGAGCCAGAAACAGCCAAGGCTACGGTAGATAACAGCTAGAGAAATCAGTTAACCAGTTAACTAGCCCTTATCACAAAGTACTAGTCATGGAGACAATACAGGGCTAGACAAACACAACAGCAGAACAGACCAGAACATCCAGGGAAGTCACAGGATGGGACGTCTGGTCTAAAACCATGGGGCACTGGTGAAAGGATCATCTTAATACATGGTGCTAAGTCAACTGGCTATGCAGGTGGGAAAAGACTCATCTTGACCTCTACCTCACACTGTACACAAAAACAAATTCCAGGAGTACTGAAAATCTAACTGAAAGGTACAACAATGCTTTTACAAGAAGATACAATAAAAAGAGCACATCCAATAAGTAAAAGGAAAAGAACTTAGTTTCATTGGTCATTAAGGAAATGCAAATTAAAACTCTAATGAGGTACCAGTTTATCCCCATGAGAAAGGCTAAAGTGAAAACCACCATTAACACAAAAAAAATTCTAGCACAGATAAGGCTCTGGTTTCCATCCTCAGCACCACAAAAATACACAAAGAAACAAACCAACGTGACCCAAGTGGAACTCTTCTATATCAGTGGTGGGACTATAAATTGGTACAGTAACTTTACAAACAGTTTAACTATGTCCAGTAAAGTCAAACAAATGCAAACTATATTACACAGTAATTCCACTCCTAAGAATAGGTTCAACATAGACAGAACTTCACAGAACATGCTGGGAGGTGGAGGAGAGGTGGCTGCCTGACCCATGCACAGCTATGCGCTCCTTCCTGCTTCCTCAACTCTGGCCCAGCCTGCTCACCTGTAGAAAATGGTGAAGGAAATCATTTACCATGCTTTGGGGGTCAAGCCCAGTACTTCCCAAGAACTGAAGAAAGCTTATAGGAAACTTGTTTTGAAGTACCACCCTGGTAAGAATCCAAATGAAGGAAAAAAGAATCCAAACGAAGGAAAAGTTTAAGCAGATCTCTCAAGCTTACTAAGATCTCTCTGATGCCAACAGAAGGGAATTATACAACAAAGGAGGAGAACAGGCAATTAAGGAGGGTAGAGGAGGT